GGTCAATTCAGTTGGTAAATTCTGTACAAACACAAGGGAACTTCAATGAGAAATATTTCAAATTGAGGTTGCTGTAAGATCAAATTTATTTGCCCTGTTCTGATAAAATTTTATGTATGTACGTGTGTGCATGTGCACATGCTTGTTATGGAACCCGGAGAAACAGATTTTTAAGATCCTGAATTACGTAAACAAAAGGACAACGTTTTACAGTTAGCATGCAGGACACGTAAACAACATGTAACGCCAGCTGCGAACAAAGAGACTTCATACAAAAATAAAAGGGCAGGATTAGATATCCACGATAAATGGCAAATGACGTCAGTATAACGACTTACGTTCACAAATTTAGCATATCCAGAGAGTTCAAGAAGACAACTCATTGAATGTAACTAAAAATAGAAGATCATCAGCATTTATTTTTGGCAAACATGCAATACTTATAACATGAATGAAGCCAAAGTGAACTTTTGATTTTAAGAAATAATAAGATCTATCTGTTATTCCATGTGGAATCAGAAACGAAATACCTTGATAACTATAACCTCACTGCCTCAGCAACTGAACTCTTAATAATAGAGAGATCCTGCAGACAAAGTTGGCCAACGAATCAGAAACTACTAAAATATAATCTATTTAAAGTATTTAAAATTTAATACCTTTCCACCAATTTCCTCTTGAAGCACTCCCTGAATCATCTTCTCCCCCATCTTTCTTGTACTAAGAAATAAATTAGAAAAAAAAAAAAAACAACTTAGCATATTCATAAACAAGAAGATAATGTCAACCAATACATAGTAGTCTCTTTGGGTCCTGGAAGATGACGAATTGCAAGATTACCTATTTTCTAATTAGTAAAACAGTAAAAGACATTCCATATAGAGAATATATTACTTTAGGATAAGGGAAACCCTACTACTTCATGATCTTCCAGAACAATCTTATAATATTGTACAGATCTCATTATTCCACGACGAGTGCACTTACGGTAGAGCCTTGAGTACTTTCTGGGTTAGCACAAATGTCTGGGCCACCATAGTAGATGGACGAACTGAGATGACATGGTTGCAATACTCTCTGCTCCTGATAGTAGGCACTCGCATCACTGTTCTGAGCGCTTTGAATTTCACTTCCACCGGTCTTAGAGGTATCACCTACAAAGAAAAAAGAATATTTAAGAGGAAACTGCGAGATATATAACTGAGAAACATGCCTTAACTGCTAAATTTAATAAATTATGCACTTAAGTTTTTGTTCTCTATTAAATTAGACTCTTAAGTTTTCCTGAAAGCAAGAGGAGTTAATACAAACCAGAAACTCCAGTTTTGGTGTTGTAGGGCTCATTTGCAGAATCCAGCTTCTTACCAACCACTTCAGAGCGCAACGACTCCCTACCAAAAACCTAAAAAATCGACAACAAAAGGAAAATCAGCTTATCTCTGAAAATGATTTTATTAAAACCTATAGAATTAATAAAAAGACAACAACAGCCCATTTATGTTGAAGAAACCACCATTAACCATGCAAACGTTGATGCAAGAAACAAGATCATTCGAAACACTGCCACAGAGAGAACACGAAAAGAAAAAGGACCAAAAAATTAAAACGAAGGAGAAAAAAATCCTAATGAAAAACAAAGAGGTCAATTATATCCATTCAAAGTACCAAATCAAACTCATGTTAGCTCCCATTGTCAGCTTCGCATTCATCTTTATAATCCCTTAACTGGATACATGTCACGATTGCAGAAAAGTAAGGGGGGGGAATGAACCTCCGTACTCAATCAGTCAAGCAAAACCTTGACAAAGCAATCCATGTACAGTTTCTCAATTAAAATAAAAAACTTGGAAACAACAATGCTTTAAAACTCAAATTAAAAAAAGAGAAGAAACAAACAAAACTGAATTCAAACATGTTGACGACTTCATCGACAGTTACACAGAGGTTACGAAGAAATGAAACAAAATTGATTCGCATTAGAATGCAAAAACCCGATTAACATGAACAGACGAAAAGAAACAACAGTAAGATCAGATTGTAAAGAATCGACACTCAATTTTGTCTATCTACAATAGATTTCAGCCATTAACGGAGACGCGATTAAACACGGATATACCTTAGCGGAGGGCGCAAAGATAGAACCGAAAATCCCAGCCGATGGCGAAAGAGAGTCCTTGGAGCCAAACAGCTCAGACGCGAAGGAAGAGGAAGAAGAATAAGAAGAGGAAGAGGAAGAGGAAGATGAAGAACCTAGTTGCTTCTTTCTCTCCATTTCTCTACCTCTGTAAAACCTCTAGAACCAGTCTATAAGCAAGCAAAACCCAGAGACAGCGTTTGTATAATATATATACCCACAAATTGAAAGAGCCACCGTCAGAGGGGATGGAGAGAAACAAACAGGAGAGAGAAAGAAATAAAATAATATAAACAAACGGAAATGTGAACACAACAGTTTTTATTATTATTATTTTTTTTTAACGAAAGGGAGAGACACGTGAGGATCGCGTTCTTGTTTGACAGGAATGAAATGAAACCGTCACTTCTTCCCCTGTTTTGTATAAAACACCCTTTAAAAATGTTTATTTACAAAAACGTCCCCATTATTTTTTGTTTATTTACAGAAAGTGAAAATTTTATTTTATTTTTTTTAAAAAAAAATAGAAGGAAATCAGGGGCAGGAATGGTAAAAAAAATCTCAATATACCCGAGATTCACTGCATCTGTAACTTTAAAAAAAAAAAAAAAAAGGGGAAGTTAATTGAATAAGAAATTTCAAAATTTGATTAACAGATTTGTGCCACGTACACCTCGTAGGCTCGGTTGTGGGACCCACCCTCTAAGTCCTATCCTTTTACTGCCCTAGTGGATAATAACAAACCTACCCTACCCTACCCTCAGTTCGTTGAACCAATGTTTTGTTTCACTTCTCTCCCAAACCTTTTTCTAAATTTCTCTCTTTTTTTTTTACTGCTCCACCCCCATCAAAACAAAATTTACTCTAACTAATATATATATATATATATTTCCACCTAAAAATACTTGTAATTAACAAAATGTGCGTGTGTGTGTGTGAGAGAGAGAGGGTGAATATAAATAATTGAAATATATATATATATATACAGGAAAAGAGACAATATGAGCTTATCTTTTTATCTTGTCGGACCAAGGATCGGTTAATCATGTTCTCGCTTTCTGTCACACTACTTACATAGCATATGAAACGAAAAATATTATATAATTTTCTTAATTTTTAAATTTAATTAAACTAATTAAAAAAGGTGGTAAATTTAAAATATCTGGAATTTTCGTTGGATTGGGCCCAGAGAGGAGAGATACATTGGATAAGGCAGTTTTGCAGTTGAGGGCATTGTGTGTGGTAAGATCAACCAAATTCAATTATTTAATTAATCATTTTATTAAATTAAATAATATTGGAGTGGGGTCCACGGTTGAAAACAGTGGGGAGATGAGAAATGTTTGATAGCCACTGAGGGTCGCCGCATGGTGAGTGTGTGTCCAGCTGGTAGCCACGTGTCCAGTCACCGTCCCAGAAATTCCGAATCTCCCATCTACACATATCAACTCAATCCGCACACACTTTTTTTTTTTTTTCCTTTTTATTACATATATATATATATATATATATATATCAACTCTCTGGTAGTTCTCGTATTAATATAATCTCCCTAAAAAATCGTACTTAAAAGGTAAAAGAAATGCATATATATGTATTTTACATTGCAAGTTCTCCTCAACATATACTTGGATATAATTCATTTAACCATATTTTAACTAGACAAAAATTTATTAATTTTTTAAAAATATACCTGAAGATAATAGAAAAAAAATTTATAGTTAGATACTGAATATTTTTTATAATTAAAGTATACTCAAATCAATCGTTTAATATGAGTTAAATTATTAATACGATTTCTTTAAATCACTTTTGATAGTAAATTTTAAACTTATTTCTTGTTGGTTACATGTACAAGATTATTATCAAAACTCTTGTCAAACGGCTTTACAGGATCATGCATGGTAATATCTCTTACACTTGACTTGCTTTTATTACAGGGTGAGATGATTAATTGTATAAAAAAAAGCAGTGTTGGTGTTGTGTTTAAAGTTGATAATAAGAAAGATTTTGACTTTTATGACTTGGAATTTCCTAAATA